GGGGCGGGCTGGATTCGGCCGAGGACGGACAGAGGGGAGTTGAGAAAGACAGACACAAGAGTCTTCCGACAAATGGATGTAGGTTGCACGTGGGCAAGGGTGGAGTTCCGGGTAGTGGTGCCGGGTTGGCATTTTTCAACGAAAATTCCTATAATGCGTTCCGCTTTGTGCGTGGCGCGGATAGGAATAGGACCTGCCCATGAGAGAAGAAGGGAGGAGAGATTGAAGTGAATGATAGAGCATTTGTTTCACTTGGGAATTTTGCCAGACACTGTGGCAAAGGTCAGGAGTGTTGAGAGAACTGCTGCAGGAATGATGAATGACTAGCAACAGGGAGATACAAGTATGAAACCCTGACTGGGGTTGTACCCTATACTGAGCACCTCACTGTAGCCTAGAAGAACTAAGAACATACAAATATGTTTTGACACACCCCCCTAGGCAAATTGAGGGATAGCCAATACAACAAACGGTCACATAACCAGTCAGGCAAGAGAACAAAGCAAAGCAAAGCCCAGGGTGGATCTCAAGATCACCACTCATTCCGAGCACAAGCATGTGGCCACAAGGCCAGTTCACAATCAATGCAGTACACTGATCACAATCTAGCAAGAGTAGACATGCAGGTATAAATATGGATATCAGTGTACAACAAGTGCAAGATCAAGAGACAAGCAGGTGAGGCAGAGTGGGCAGAAGCCAAAGAGCAGTGCAAAAACGCTGATGATCACAGGACCCGAGGACCTTGGTGAAGACGTCAGTAGTGTTGGCCCGAGAGGCCACGAAGGAAAGGCGAAGCTGACCACGCTGCTGCAGCTCTCGAGCAAGAAAGTAGCAAAGAGCAATGTGCTTCGTTCTGTGCTCCAGTCTCTGCTCGTGACACAAGGCAAGCATGGCCTTGTTGTCTACGTTCGGAACTGGAGGAGAACGAGGCCGCTCCCCCAAGTCGGTCAGCAGGTAGGTCAGCCAGCGTAGCTCCTGTGCAGCCATGGCCCCAGCGTAGATCTTGGCCTCACAGCTGGAACCAAGCCCAGAAGAAGAACGAGTGGACCTCCATGAGACAAAACCAGAGCCAAGACTGAAGGTGTAACCTAGGGACGAACGCTGAGTCGCCCGGTCGTCGGCCCAAGAAGCGTCGGAGTGTCTTGTGAGTACCACTGAACCCCGTCCTCCAAGCATGAGCCCCATGCCCGATGTACTGCACAAGTAACGCAGTAACCTCTTCGCGGCATCCCAGTGCACATTTTGATGTCTACCGGGAGCCATGTAGCGAGCCAGGAGGCTGAGAGGGTACACAAGGTCAGGTCGTGTGCATGTCATCAAGTACATGAGGCAACCCACAAGCTCTGGATACGGACCACTCGGCTCTACGGACTCGTCCGAAGGTGGAGCTGAGAGCGAGTGGCCAGTAGGCAGAGGACTGGGCTGTGGCAAGGAGTACTGGAAGCCGAAGCACTGAAGGACCTGGTGCACCATGTGTGACTGAGTCAGGGTGATGGTGCGCCGTGCTCTGTCCCGGGTGATCTACAAGCCAAGATAGCTCCACCGCTCACCTAGGTCACTGCAGATGTGTCTCTCCTGCAGTTCCGCCTTCACTAGGGCCAGCGCCTCAATGTCAGCAGTAGCAAAAACCAAGTCGTGGACGTACATGAGAACGTAGAACGACGGCCAAGAAGTGTCGGTGCGTAGAAACAGCGACGGGTCAGCAGTGGAAGGAGCAAACCCAAGAGCCGCAAGTGTCATCCTCAGTGTGTAGTGCCATTCGCGGGGCGCCTGGCGGAGACCGTAGACTGGTCGTCGGAGGCTCCACTTGGTACCCGCAGGACACGACCCAGTGAAGCCAGGTGGGCGGCGCAGCCAGATCTCCTCGTGAAGGCTTCCTTGCTCGAAAGCTGTGGAGAAGTCGAGGGAGTGTAGCTCGTAGTCACGCTGTGCTGCAACGTGCAGCAACACCCAAAGAGTAGTCATCTTCGGGGTGGGGGAGAAGGTCTGGAAGAATTCGACCCCCTGTCGCTGACTGAAGCCTCGAGCAACGTAACGCTCCTTGAAGGTAGGCGTAGAACCCGGTGGAGGAACCATGTTCGCCCCAGGAGAAGGAACCTCGTCGACGTAGGTGCCTGTGGACTTCCAAGAAGCCATCTCTGCATCCATGGCTTTCTGCCACTGAGAGGAGTACTCACCCGCGATCGCCTCAGCGTAATTGCGCGGGGTAGGGATGTTAAGTGCATTTAGGTCTCCTTCAGGGCAAAGCAGCATGGATGCGAAACGAGGTAAAGTGGCTGCAACACACTCAAGCTCAAACTGCCTGTCCTCAAGGACGTCACTGTCAAGGGCAGGCTCACCCTCGACGGACGGAGGACAGACAGACTCAGACTCAATAACAAGACTCGCGACGTAGTCAAGACGTCATCTAGCAGCAAAGTCGACTAGCTCAGTAACGAGGGCAAACACAGCTGTAGACTCAAAGTCAAGGTCAGAGACGACAGTAGCGAGGAGACGAGTGACAGTAGGAGTGGCAGCACGAGCAAGGACGGAATCGGGGTTAGGAATGTCAGGAAGAGAGGACACCGGAGGAGACGGCAGGGCAACACACAGTGGAGCAGAAGAAGGACGAAGTGCCTGGGACAGCAGGAGGACGAGGACGGGCAACACGACGAGCACGAACAGGCGTGGAAGCACGAGTCTCAGGCTCATGACGCTCAGTCAGAGACTCAGTCACCTCAGAGTGAGGAGAAGGAGTAAGGAGCGGGGAGCCACACAGTAGCTGTGGCTGAGACTGGTTTGTCAATGGACACAAGAGAGGTGGAGTGAGGCCAGTGGAAGACGGGAGACAAAGAACTTGGTGAAGGACCGATTCAGGCGGCATCAAGGACGACTGCGGCTGCGGGTAGAAAAACGGTCGGTGCGGGGAAGGACCCGTACCGTCAGCAGCTCCAGCACCTCCAGCTCTAGCAGGACCAGCACCTCCAGCACCTCCAGGACCAGCAGTACCTCCAGCACCTCCAGTGTCAGCAACACCAGCACCTCCAGTAGCACCTCCATCTCCGGCAGCTCCAGCACCTCTAGTACGAGCACCTCCAGGACCAGCAGCTCCAGCACCTCCAGTACCTCTAGTACCTCAAGCTCTAGCAGCACCTCCAGTACCTCCAACTCCAGCAGCACCTTCAGTACCTCCAACACCAGTAGTACTAGTACCTCCAGAGCCAGTAGCTCCAGCTCCAGCACCTCCACTGCCAGCAGTACCAGCACCTCCACTGCCAGCAGTACCAACACCTCCAGTACCTCCAACACCTCCAGTACCTCCAGTACCTCCAGCACCTCCAGCTTCAGCAGCACCTGCACCTCCAGCACCTCCAGCACTAGCAGCTCGAGGAGCTGTAAAACTCCAACCTCCAGCACCAGAGCGGCCTCGCCGAACGACCCACTCACGAAGCTGCTGTGGTGAGGGCGTCTCGAGTCGACTAGGCACCTGCTGCTGTCCAACGCCAGGACCTGCAGAAGGAGCACCCACGGCCCCACGACTACTAGGACTAGCAGCACCCCCAGAGTCAGCACCCCCAGATTCAGCACCTCCAGTCTCAGCACCCCCAGTCTCAGCACCCCCAGTCTCAGCACCCCCAGGATCAGCACCTCCAGCGTCCTCACCTCCAGTGTCACCACCCCCAGCAGCACTAGTGTCCACAGCTACAGGCTGCAGAGGCGGTGAAGACGGTCGAGGCTGAAAACCAGGAGGGGTCTCCAAGCGTGGAGAGCGACGAGTGGTTGCTGTGTCGTCAGCAGCGAGGTCACCCCCCTCAGCTGGGCCAGAGGTGTCAGAGGATATCACCAAAGGCTCAACCAAGGGGGGTGGTTCTACCTGAGAGTCACCTGAGGGAGCAGGACCCTGTGGGGGGAGGGGGTCTACCGGGGGGGGAACTGGTGCCAGGAAGAGAGGCACCAGGGGGACTGTGTGGGACGCGTTCAGGTGCAGCCTGTAGAAACAAACTGACTCGTCAAAGGTGACGTCCTGGGAGGAGAGGACGCGACGCGAGCGAGGGTGGTAAAACTGCCACGGCGGGGCATCGGTGGGGAAGCCTAGGAAGGCGCAGCGGAGAGTGCGAGGAGAGAGCTTGCTCGCGGTGGTATCGCGAATAAGGGAGAGCGCGCCCCAGACGCGACACGCCGACGCATCGCCAACCTCTCCCCTCCAACGGAGTGTGGGCGAGGTCTCTGGCAGAGAGACACGGGGCCAGAGGTTGAGCTGATGCGCGGCGTATTGGACCGCAAACGGCCGCAGAAAATGGGGAGCAACTGCATGGATCATGGAGGTACGAGCAATCTCCATGATCAAGCCAATACGACGCTCAGCAGTCCCATTTTGCTGCAGAGAGGCCGGAAGCGTGAACGACTGGATGATGCCATTGTCTTGACAAAACTCCGCAAGGAGGCCGGAAGAGAACTCACCGCCCCTCCCAGCGTCGACTATTCCAAGCTGCCCCTCACGGTGAATCCAATTGACTGCCTGCGCAAGGTGCCCCTGTGTTACCGTGGTCTCCATCTTTGCTGGGGCTGGGCGCCCCTACAGCCTCTCTCCCACTCTCAACCACCCTTCAACCCTCCTCGCTCTCTTCTCCCCTTTCCTCCCCCTCCCAGCATCGACTACCCTGAGCTGCCCCCAACGGGAAATGTGATTGACTGACTTAAAAAGGTGCCCTCTGACACTGTGGTCTCTGTCTTTGCTGTGGGCGGCCACCCCTTCGCCCTCCAGGAGAACGCCGGCTACCCCATCGGCCCCGGCTACTTCACCAAGTTCCTTCCCAGGTAGGTGCAGAGCGGTTCAGCTGGTTTTATTTTGTGGTAAAAGTGATATTCCTGCCATGCAAGCACATGATTTTGGGAATGGTGTGCATTGTAAGGTAGTAATATCCTTGAGTGAGTCTTTGCGTGTGCATCTCTCTCCCCCTCTCCACACCTCCCTTCCCTGCCAGGTGCACTACACCAATCCCGAGGGCCATGCGGGCATGCGGGACAAATCGGGCATGTACTGGAAGGTGGCAGCCACACCGCGTGCCATGGATGCATCCATCATGATGCTGGGCCCCGTTCACTATGACCTGCAGATCCGCATTCCCCCCGCCATGCCCTCCTGGACGCAATCCACCTCCTGCGCTCCCGCATGCACCGAGAAGGTGTTGGGCAACGAGAGCATCAAGATTGTCGCCTCCATGCTTCACATGCACGGCCTCGGCAGGCAGGTGGGTGACTTTTGAGACCTCTCACATCTGACTCACATGCCTCCCACGTCCTCTCCCACGTGTTGGGCAACGAGAGCATCAGTGTTGTTGCCTCCATGCTTCACATGCATGGCCTCGGCCGCCAGGTGGGTGCGGCCAGCAGGTAAGACCCAAGTGAATAGTGGGAAAGTCGACTCAGGTGGTTAATCATACAATCATCGATGCCATCCCTGACCAACTCTCCCACTCTTGCCCTCCCCATCCCCCCCTTTCCCTGACCACGCGGCCTTTTAAGTGGACTCAAAAGGCATCGGTACCACCCCTTGTCAAACTCTTCCAATCCCCCCTCCCCATCGCCCCTTGCCCTCCCCATCCCCCTTCCAGTTGTACACAGAGGTGATCCGAGGGGGCACCAAAGTGGCCACCATCAGCCGCCTCGATTACTAGTGAGTCCCTTGCCTCCCCTTCTCTTTTCCTTCCCATCCCTTTCTGGTTCGGCTACAAGCGAGTCCCCCGCCTCCCGTTCCCTTTTCTTTCCCCTCCCTTCCACGTTCGCTCCCCACCCGTTATGGTTTGACCCACCCACCCGGTAGCGTATTTGTGTCGCAGTAGACCATGCCGCCATGCCAGAGCACGAGGTGCTTCCCGGCGATGAGCTGACTTTGAGTTGACTCAATTGCCTACCCTTCCCCTCCTTCCTCCCCTCCCTCCCCCTCTTCCCCTCCCTTCCCCCCCTCCCATCCTTCCTCCCCTCCCTCCCCGTCCTCCCCACCCTTCCCCCCCTCCACTCCTTCCTCCCCTCCTTCCCCCTCCTCCCCACCCTTCCCCCCCTCCCCTCCTTCCTCCCCACCCTCCCCCTCCTCCCCACCCTCCCCCTCCCCCCCCCCCCGCGCAGTGACTTTGCATCGCAGCAGACCATGCCCACCATGCCAGAGCACGAGGTGTTCCCTGGTGATGAGCTTCGCACCACGTGTGTGTGGGACTCCTCTGCCCGCTCCACAGTACGTGCCGCTGGTTATGCTGGTTACCACCTTGTTTTTTGAGTCAGCTTAACAGTCGCCTCTGTGATGTCCTGTGCACCACATGTGTGGGACTCCTGTGCCCTCTCCACAGTACGTGCCACTGGTTGTGCTGGTTACCATCTATAAGCACACTCACATGGCTGCTACCATTGTGCAATCGTGTGTGGGTGCAGCTGACGTGAGGGGGTATGCTTGCGTTTGATGCGCCTTAAAATAATCTCTTATAGCCATGCTCACATGGAAGCTGCCATTGTGCCATCGTGTGTGGGTGCAGGTGGTGTGAGAGGGTATGCTTGTATCGCCATTTCATGCGCCTTAAAAGAATCTCTTATAAGCATGCTCACGTGGAAGCTACCATGGCGTGTGTGGGTGCAGGTGACGCGAGGAGGGCCCAGCAGTGATGATGAGATGTGCATCAACTGCCTGGTCTACTATCCTGCAAGGAAGGGGCACGGTAAGGCGCGTCAATGCACAGTGATGCTCTGTGATGCACGTTGATGCATTTTGATGCAAGCTCATGCTCTGTGATGCACGTTGATGCATTTTGATGCAAGCTCATGCTCTGTGATGCACGTTGATGCATTTTGATGCAAGCTCATGCTCTGTGATGCACGTTGATGCATTTTCATGCAAGCTCATGCTCTGTGATGCACGTTGATGCATTTTCATGCAAGCTCATGCTCTGTGATGCACGTTGATGCATTTTGATGCAAGCTCATGCTCTGTGATGCACGTTGATGCATTTTGATCCAAGCTCATGCTCTGTGATGCACGTTGATGCATTTTCATGCAAGCTCATGCTCTGTGATGCACATCAATGCACAGTGACCATGTGTATTACCCGGCGAGGAAGGGGAATGGTACTAATGCATGTCGATGCGCATTGATGCACATGAATTTGCATTGATGCACACTCACATTGATGCACAACAATTTAACCCGATGGGCATAGTTCAATTTGATGCACACTGATACACATCAATTCTCATTGAGCACATTTATTCACGTAGGTGCATATTCAAGCCATGTCACTGCACACTGGTCAATGTTCCCTTGAATATCCCACACTGTTCTCCATGCATGCTGCCGGCCTCCCCATAGAGATGGTGATGTGCTTTGACTACTGCGCAAGCACCACCAACCACGCGTGTGGGGCTGGCGAGACGCGCTACATCCCCACCAACCAAACCTGCACGGTCGACTTTGGACGCTCTTCTCACTGCCCTCCATGGCTGCCCCGCACAGTGAGTACCGAGGCTTCTCTGAATACCGACTCATGACTCGGCTCGAATACATTTCTGAGTCAAATCAATCAATTCAAGAGAGAACTCCGATTTACACCCCAGTGCACCCATTCCTCGATTTTCTTGCTCATCCGTGCATTCCTCTCCAATCCTCTCTGCTAACCCCTCACTCAAAGATACATGCCTGCTCCTCTGCATTTGATTCTTCCTTTGCTGCCCTGCTGAACGTGATTCTTCCTTGGCTGCCCTGCTGAACGTGATTCTTCCTTTGCTGCCCTGCTGAACGTGCTTCTTCCTTTGCTGCCCTGCTGAACGTGCTTCTTCCTTTGCTGCCCTGCTGAACGTGCTTCTTCCTTTGCTGCCCTGCTGAACGTGCTTCTTCCTTTGCTGCCCTGCTGAACGTGCTTCTTCCTTTGCTGCCCTGCTGAACGTGCTTCTTCCTTTGCTTCTCTGCTGAACGTGCTTCTTCCTTTGCTGCTCTGCTGAACGTGCTTCTTCCTTTGCTGCTCTGCTGTGCTTCTTCCTCACTCTAAGATCCATTCTGCTAACCAACCCCCCCCCCCCCCCCCCCCCTCACACGTCTTTTCCGCTGGTGCAGGTCTCAAGTATCGCTGTCAGGCCTTGCAGTGGATACCATTTCATCGCCCCTGATTCCCACCCAGCCACCATCTTCCCCATTGCAGTCTCCTGCTGTGCCTTCACCACCTGCTACCGCCACTCCCAGCGTTGCAAGCGGAACCACTGGAAAGCGTGCACACGCATTAATGGCAGCGTTCCCCACTGCGGTGTTGGCTCTTCTCTCCTCAGTTGCTGCGCTTTGGGTGTGATAGGCCGGCACTCCCAGCATTTCGAGTGGCATCACTGGTTAGCCCACACATGCATTGATCGTGACCTTCCTGTCCGTGATGCTGATTCTTCTCTGCTTGTTTGTTGCACTTGGGGTATGGTAGGGTAGGCATCATGGGAAGCTGCTTCCAGATCAACTGATTGGATATGAGTTGTGAAGAATGGATTTTGTACACATAAACACATGGTTTGGTTGACTATGACCACAACATCAGCAGGCAATTGCTATGGTATGGGCACTGAGCTATCAAACAGAGCCCACATAGTTCACTAGATAACAGCTGTAGCATTACCAAAAAAACTGTGTGTGTGTGTTTTTTTTTTTTTTTTTTTTTTTTTAGATGGGGTTTTATCAGAAATTGCTCGAACTGGGGGGGTTGGATTTGAGAGTGGTCGAGAGGAAGGGAGGAAAAGAGAACAGGACGAACGGAAGAAGGTAAGAACTGAATCTGAGTGCATGGCTCGGTGGTGTGTGGTGTTTAGGGGGCGAAAGAGTTAAGGAGTTAGTTGTGTACGCACATAAATTTGAAGCAAGAATAAAATATGGGCAGAAAAAAAAAAAAGCTACAGTATCTTTGCGCCCAACCGAACCTGAATCCGCAACAGATTCGCTGGTTGTAATACATGGAGTCCAACTTCCAATACACAATAACATACAAAAAAGGCGCATCAAACATCGCCGACGCCCTCACTCGCCCAACTGCCCAACTGTATGCCATCCTAATCGCCCAATCATACCCGCTACTCACAGGACTATTCCCCGCGACTACCATACCGACCCATTTTTCACCACTGGAAAATACGCAGCAGCTGACAGAAGCAAATGGAATTTATTACGTAAAAGTCGGCACCAAGCGCTTCTGGGTACCAGCATATTCAGTGCTACGGGAATTAGTACTCCAAGAGGCACACGACGGGTTAGAAAACCCGACAACAACAGAAGCGGTACTACTACTGGCCGGAGCTGCTAACGGATGTGCAGCACCATGTGGGATCGTGCCCCACGTGCCAGGTGATGAAGTCTTCGCGGAAAGGAAAGGCAGGTCAACTGCAACCAGTTTCGCACCCGAACGCGCCTGGCAGCGGGTGACTCTGAATTTTGTTACGGGGTTGCCAGCGAGCCCCGGGGGTAACTACGCGGTCATGTTCGTCGTCGACCGATTGACGAAAATGGCTCACTTTGCTGCGTGCATAAAATCTACCTTGGCCGAAGAAACTACACGCCTGTTCATCGCAGCTGTTGTTCGCCTCCACTGGATACCAACAGCCATCATCAGCGACCTCGACACAAAGGTCAGGAATAACTTATGGAGAAACCACTCGGAACAGTTCGGCACGTGTCTACAGTTCGGTTCGTCGTACCATGCTGAGACTGACGGACAGACCGAAAGAACAAATCAAACCATGGAGCAGCTCATCCGCGCCACGTGTGACAACCCCACAGCCTGGAAATAGTAGCTGTCGTTGATCGAGTTCGCGTAAAACAATGCCACATCAGCCACAACGCAACAGTCATCGTTTTGCCTAAACTATGAACAGAACCCAACATTACCCATAACACCGAGCGCGTACAACTTGACACCACGCGCCCAACAGTTCGCTGAAATTCTGTAATCTGCCCGGACCCGCACCGCTGAAGCAATAAAAAAGCAAATGCCATCACTAAAAGAAACGCTGACCGCCACTGCCGCCCCGTCGCGTACCAGTCAGGAACAATTCGCTGAAATTATGCAATCAGCTATTGTGTGTACTGTTGACGGGAAAAGGCCCTCGCTTGGGCGAAGCCGACTTCGTTGTTCGGCATGCAAAGTGTGCAGTCGGCTAGGCTTTGTGGACGGTGTCGACTTGGAGGAGCAAGTTGGCGGGCTTGGTTGGCCGACTTCGGTGAAGCCGACCACAGCAGAGGCGACTTTGGTGGAGTTGACTTTGGTGGAGCCGACTTCGGTGAAGCCGACCACGGCGAATTTGTCGAAGTGAAGTCGGCGGACGACGCCGAGCTTCAGCGGTCGACGAGGTGATCGTCGACAGAGCGCCAACTTACGGACACCAGCCTATGGGCGCCGACCTACGATGGTCGGCGTCGGCTAAGCGGCCTCTTCTGGTTGACCTGGCCAACTGTTGACACGTTTTTTACCAGGCACTTGTGCAATGTGCGTGATGGTGCACAACGTGCACGCAGCCGTCTACCTCCTCCTACTTGTTGTCGCCGTTTTACCTGAACTATGCTCAAAACCCAACAGTACCCATAACACCGAGCCCGGACAACCCGACACCACGCGCACAACAGTTCGCTGAAATTCTGCAAGCTGCCCAGACCCGCGCCACTAATTAAAAAAACAATTGTCGTCGCAAAAAGAAACGCTGACCACCGTCGCCGCCCCGTTACGTACTAGTCAGGAGATTGCGTGCTGCTCGACACCCAAAACCTTCGCCTGCCCGTTGTACCAAAATCACGACTTCGCTACTGTGGCCCATTCCAGATCAGCCACATGATCACCCTCGTCACCGTGCACCTCTTGTTGCTCGCCGACTGGTACGTCAGCCCGTTCTTCCATGTCAACCTCCTTCGCCCGTACATCCCGTCCACCAACTAACTGCCACGCCACCAACCAGCCTCGATGCCGCGTCCTGCAGCAGAGCGGATCGTCGAACCCGAAAAAGAAAGAAAGAAAAAAAAAATGGAGCCATCGAATTCGATGGTCCTTGTTTTGATAATGGCCTTGTGAATCACCACGTTCTTTCCAACGCCAATCGGCACACCGACACTGGCTATCAGCGCCTCCTGTTGCTCCTCCGTCTGATTGGGCGCACGAGATGCCGCAATGGAAGGCAAAAGGGGGCAAAGGGAGGATAAGTAATAAGGTGGACCAAGATCAGTGGACCATGCAATTCCTCCCATCATTCCCTGGCCGAGCAAGTAATCGAATTCGAAGTGGAGCTAGTCTCCATTGGTGGTGACTCATAGTGAGCACGACATCCCTTAGGTGCTGTGTAGGACATCCTACAAGGCCTCTTCTTGGCCTTCTTAGAGGATAAGCCACCAATACAATTCTCAAGTAGGGTGAGGTAGTTCACCTATAACTGTGAGGCAGTCACATCTTGGTGATGCATAATTCTGGAATTATATCAACTTTTAGGGAATTTATGCTGTGCATTTCTGCCGGCATCAACAACTCTTTCAGCTGGTGTGAAATGCATCTCTGAACAGGCCTGCCAGTGTGTGAATGCCACTGATGTTTACAGACATCAACAAGTTACAGTAAAATGGTTTTCTCATGTCATGTCAGGCATCTAAGCCACCACTGGCACAGAAACGTGTACCCGACAGCTACATGGACACAGCTAGAATGGAGAAGACAGTAAGGAGTCCCAATGACAGCTTGGCAAACACGACGGGAGCAGCCTTGGTAGTGTTGGTGCTTCACGTTGAGTTTTTGGAAGGGCTGGTTGGAGGTGGTGGTGCAGTGGTGTTAGTGGGTGAGGACATTGCGACTGAAATGTTGCTGCTTGAGAGCACAGCCAAAGAGCCTGCAGTCCTGCAAATGGGGAGATAAATATGGGGTGGGCGGGAAGATACATGGGATGGGAGGCACGAAAAGGCATTAGGTGAAAGGGAGAGGGAAGCAGAATGCAATGCAGCATGGCTCGGAGGAGCAGGTGGTGCAGTGTTGCTGGTGTGGGTGGCATGGGGACGGCTTATAAGGTGGATAGGCCCAAACCAGAGCAAGTCAGCCAGCAAGAGAGTGATGACAGACACATTAGCACCACAGCTCATGCCAGACATCAGGCAGCTATTTAAGAGACTTACTTAGCAGGGCAGCCAGTAAGCACTTTAAAAGGCACGTTGGCACCGTGCCTCATGCTGCATTTCTTTGAGGTGGGAATGTAGGGGTTGTTGAGGCCACCACACAGGTAGAATGTGGTGAGGTTGGGGCTCTTGGGGTTCATATCAAACGTGTTGTTGACGCTGTCCCACGCCGCACAGAAGTCAGAGCACGAACCAAGCACTGTAGTGCGGGAACAACAAGCAAAGGGGCAGAGGGGGGAGAAGTCGAAATCGATCCATTACTCCCTACAAGTCTCAATTCCCAACCCTTTCAACCCGTACATATTCCCTCTACTATTCTGAACACTCGCTTCACTGATCCCTGCATTCATTCCGCTCATTCCTGCTTACCGCTCTCTTCACTGCTCACCTTGAGCCGGCCTGGCTGGATAGTAAATGAGGTAACCCACACACATCTCATCACTGGTTGCTGGGCCGCCAGGTGTCACCTGCGGATTGGAGCACAGCAACACATGCAGAGAAGACAAGGAAAGGTAGAAATCCAGATGTGGGTGGGAGTGAGTAAGCGTTATGCAGGGAGGGAGAGAGAGACAGAAAGGGACAGTAGAGAGAGAAGGCTGAGCGCAAAAGGAGGGGGGAAGCAGGATCAAGGTGGGTGCACAATACATTGAAGAGGGAGGAGGAGTCCCGAAGGCACATGGTCATCATTAGGCGCCTCAAAACAACCGGGAGACAAGAGACAATTCATCAGAAACCAACTTATGAAGCTTCTTGAAACTAGCGGTACCTGGGAGCGGGAGGAGGAGTCCCACACGCACGTGGTCTTGAGCTCGTCCCCTGGCAGCAGCTGGAAGTGCGTTCTAAGACATGAAAACTCGAAACTCTTTGAGACGTGTCATACCTGGGAGCGGGAGGAGGAGTCCCACACGCACGTGGTCTTGAGCTCGTCCCCTGGTAGCAGCTGGAATTGCGGGTAGATGGGCTGCACCTGCTGCCAGTTGGTATTGCTGTGGGTGTGGAGAGATGGGGAGGGTTTGGGGAGAATGGGAAGAGGGGGAAAACGGGACTTGAGGGCAGCAGCTGGAAGTAGGGTAGATGGGCTGCAGTTGGCATTGCTGCAGGAGTGAATTGCAGAAATGGGGAGGGTTTTGGGATGGGCGGGTGGGGGGGTTGGGACTTGAGATCATTACAGCAGCAGGTGGAAGTGTGGGTACATGGGCTGCACCTGCTGCCAGTTGGCATTGCTGTGGCAGGGATTCGGGAGGGGGAGAGGAGAGAGGGGCATGAGCCAGCTGCAGTAGCAAGCACGGGTAGATAAACCGCAGCCACAGTGGAGGGGGGTTGAGATGATGCATCCCCGTATGTAGGCATGGACGCATGGATACACGGATGCATGGATGCATGGAGGCATGGGCACATGGACACGTGGGTGAATGGATTCAATAACGCAGAGCTAAGCCAGCACACTCACTAGTAGTCCAGCCGATCAATCTCAGCAACCTTCCGCCCTCCCCGGTACACATCAGTATACAGCTGCCGACCCAGCGTGTGCATGTGCATGTGTGCATGTGCATGTGCATGTGCATGTGTGCATGTGTGCATGTGCATGTCCATGTGCATGTGCATGTGCATGTGCATGTGCATGTGTGCATGTGTGCATGTGCATGTGCATGTGCATGTGCATGTGCATGCCTGTCCCAATAACCGTCACCCCGCTCGCATTCCTCAGAACAGCAGCCGTGCACGCGCTGGGGCACGTGCTGGTTTGAGTCCAGGAGGGCATTCTGGGGGGAATGCGGATGAGCATGATGCCTGCGTCGGTGGCGCGAGGAGGGTTGGCGATTTTGAAGTAGAAGCCGGAGCTGTCGACGATGTTGGAGCGGAGATCAGGGTTGTTGAAATGCATCTAGCGAGTGGAAGCTGGGTGGGGAAGTGGGGGAGGATTTTGAGGGGAGTGGGAGGTAAGGGTGGGAGGCGCCTCAAAAGTAGGATCCAGAGCTGTCGACAACGTTGGAGCGGGGATCAGGATTGATGAAATGCACCTGGCGAGAAGGTGGGGGAGGGGGAGAAACGGGGGTGGGGAAGGGGTGACATATGTATGCAACAAGGAGGAAAGGTGTGCAACATGGTGTAGGAGATTAGAAGCCAGAGCTGTTGACAATGTTGGAGTGGCGATCAGGATTGTTTAAGTGCACCTGGCGAGTGGAAGGGGTGGGTGGGGAAGTGGGGTTGGGGGAAGAGGGGGGATGTCGCAGAAGCAAATGGATGCATATATTCCGATATTATGTATATGTATGTATGTATGCATGCATGATTATAGACATACACACTTAACATGCATTACTGAATTGCATTGAGCTGCACTGCACACACCTCGAGCCCACTTTTGCTAAAGAGCCTGGCCCACATGGCATATGAGTCAACACATACGCGCTAGAACTGCACTGAACTACTCCGCACCGCATCCAACGTACCTGCAGCACGAATTTGGTGAAGTAACCGCGACCCACAGGGTAGCCAACCCCATCGGGGTCGACAAAGGGGCGCCCGCCCATGGCCCACATGGCAACAGTTGTGTGACAGGGGAGGCCGCTGATACAGTCAAAGGTGCCGGTAGCGTTGGCAACATTGGGATATTCCGCCCTTGGGGGAGAGTGCATTGGACAGGAGGGAGGGGGAAGGGGAAAGGGGTAACCGGGAAGGCAGAAGGGAGAGGAGGTGGTTAGGAGGAGCATGAGGAGGTGACGCAAAAGTCAACTCAAGCCAACTAAAAAATCGGCGCGGCACGTGGCTTACTGGGAGCAGCCATAGATGACTCCGTGATGCACGGAGGGCGTATAGGTGGAGTTGAGGAGAGCTCCAAACTCCACTATGTGTACCTTGCTGGTGGCTGGCACGTCAAACACCTGTGCTCAGAGGGGAGACGAGGAGTGGGGAACGGAAGAATGTGAAGGGAGAACAAGGGAATGAAGGGGAATCAGAGCGAACTCCACTATGTGCACCTTGCTGGTGCCTGGCACGTCAAACACCTGTGCTCACAGGGGAGAGGAAGAGAGGGGAACGGGAGGGGAGAAGAGGGGAATGAGAAGGGTATAGTGGGGAAGGAAATGAAGGGGAATAAAAGGAAACTCCACTATTTGCACCTTGCTGGTGGCTGGCACGTCAAACACCTGTGCACAGGACGACAGGGGAGGGGAGAGGCGGAATGAGAGGGGAATGAGAGGGGGATAAGAGGGGGTATACGAGAGGGAGGGGATATAGAGAAGCAGGACGAGGCGGGAACACGAGGGAATGAGCGGAGAGGATGACAGCCAAGCACATGAGCGAGTGGATCATAGAAAAAAGGACACTGCAAATCCCGGCAGATCTCTGCGGTGACCCCACCTTGCACACGTAAGTCGTGGCGTTACTAGCAGGCACCGCGAAGTTGCTCAGAGTCCAGTTCAGCTGCTGCACCTTCAACTGCCCGTTGGCCTGCCCAAGATCCGCGGCGTACTGGCTGCTTGCTTCAGCGGACGCGGAGGACACGGAAGGGGGGGACGGGGGCGCAAGGATGGAGGGGGCGGGCGCGGGGACCAGCACAAGTGACAGTGAGCCACGAGATGACGTCCCGTAGTAAACAAAATCGTTGGTTTCGCCCATCGCCCAGATGAGGTTGTGCTGTCGCCCGGCGACGATGGGGCGGTCGTTGCAGTCGCCGGTGTCCAGCTGGCGCCATACATGCATGGTGGTCCACGTGTCTCCTGTGGATTGCTCGGTGGTTTTGATTCCGCCCAGCACGCGCCAGTCTTGCTGGTCATCCAATGCGACTCCTTCCACTGTCTTGTTGAAGATAAACCGATCCGTTGCATACACGCGCCCTTCAGCGAACCATGCGACGAGGGCATCTGTTTCGCAGAGCACAGTAGAAAAACGCATTCCAAGAATCGCTTTTGGAGGGGCTGAAAGTCGTTACTCTAAATAGGAGCCAATTTGAGCTACCGTCACATACTCACCGCATCCCACCATCGTGCCAACTTCGGAGAGGCCTATAGCGAGCCATCCGGCAGTCTGAGCCTTCGCGGCAATGCGAATCGTCGCCTCGGTGTCGTTCACGCTCCAGTGCTGCTCGAATCCGTCGCTCATCATCGCCACGTTATCGTACGACGACATTTCCGGCAAAACGGCCGGCTGGCCGTTAATACTACCGGCCGAAATGAGCAGCAGTACGAAGCACACCGCTGCAGACCCAAAAATTCTCTCGAAGGAAAAAGCCATGCTGGCTGGCTGGCCGCCAAATGTCACGCAGCGGGGTGACGGACACTGCTCGCACCGCGAAGAGATTGTATTTGTACGATTGGAGTGACAGGATAACCACAGCTCCCTTGCAAGTTATTATCCAAAGTTGATATGGCTCGTGTGCAGCCCGGGTGGGTCAATCGCTAGCAGCGATGAAGTGAACCAGGCAGGTACAAGCAAGCTGTTCTCAAGGGGGCCCACCCCGGGAATGCTCTAAAGCTGGGGAGGGATGGTGCAGTCACGAACCGCATCTAGCCTGGGAGTTTCCGCGGGCGGGTATTACTAATGGCACGAGCATGCGGAAAGGACCGCGTAGCTCGAGAATCTCCCGGCGGACCTTGCGAACTCGAAAATTTTCCCGCGGAGCTTGATAATTCCCCAGCGCGGCTCGAGAATTTCCGCGCAGAGCTAGTGAGCTGCCCCGCGCAGCTCGAGATTCCCCCCACGCAGAGCTCGAGCTCGTACCGCCCAGGGCAACTCGCCATTTGAGAGAGCCGTCCTCTGTAGGCAAGCCGGAACAAAACAGCCGGGAACTTTGGGTTCCCCCCAGCCCGACAGCTTTCATTTCGTGTCGCATACGAATCGCGGGCAGCAGGAACGAAACAGCTGCTGGGTTTCACCGTGAGTACACTGCGTTCTGTAGGTGGATGGTGCAGGGACGAATACACATTTCGGAACTGGAAGCGAACGGCGGCAGATTCTAAGGAGGCAGGGAACGGACGGAAAGCCGCTGAGATCTACGGCGGCTTTTAGAGTGCTAACAACGGATACACTCCACTTGTGCAGCTTCCTGACATGCAGCTGTGCTGCCCTGCCCCTCTTTACCTCATCCAGGCAAGGCGCTTGCGTAATACTAAGGGAATGTCGATTCCGAAGCCCACTACCCCCTGGTTCACACGGCCACCACGCTGTGACACGATTTAATCCCTTTGCCCTATTTCCAACACGGAATAGCGGAGTTGACTGGGAAATCATTGTAATGATAAGTAACCTTTGAATAGTGAACTAACCCGTAACATCATCCCTCTCCCAAGGAGGCTACACTCTCGGCACGGTAAGGAAAAAGGATTTTGGCTATCGCCGGCTGCATCATATCATAACCATGCCTAATGTATAGAGCAGGAAATCAGATGAAGGGGACAGCCCACACCCCATTTCTAATGCATTCAAAGTAAGACCCCCGGGTGGCATGTCCGGGTGATTACAGTACCTAAATTCATCGGGGCTAGTGTTCAAATCTTCATACAACCATCATTGTGCAACAATGGAATACCACAACAATTCAAAATTCACAAAATTGAGCCACGGCGCAGCTTCAACTATCTAGATAACCGTGCCAGGAGGAATCACAGCATCCTTGATAACTGTGACAATGCCGCTCTTAATGAAGTAACCATCCGTCTCCCGGGCTGCTTCCTCCACCTTATCCTTGTTGATAATCTGCACATTGTCCCCGATGCGTGCATTCTTGTCGATAATTGCCTTGTGAATTACCACGTTCTTTCCAATGCCAATTGGCACACCGCCACTGGCTATCAGAGCCTCCTGTTGCTCCTCCGTCTGATTGGTCCAACAAAAGAGATGACGCAGGAAAAGGCAAAGGGAGGCTAAGTTAGGGGGGAAGGCAGATGGGAGTCCAGATGGAAAACCTGCAGCATTATCAGCTCAGCACCATGTGATTCCTCGCAACATTCGGCATCACCACCACACTCACCTCACTACTTATGAGTGCAACAAGTAGCACACTCGCCTAATACGACTGCTCAACATCACACTACTCTCACCTCGTAGTAATCAGCGCCCATGACCAGCGTGTCCTTGATGACAGATCCCGCACCAATCTTGGCGCGAAGACCGATCACTGAGTGGTGTAGTTGCGAGTCCTGCGGCACACAGAGCATGCAGCACAGGAAACGAGGGGAATGGGAGAGCAGAAGGGGGTTGAAAACCGAAAAGGGTGCAAGAGGGGCGAAAGGAGGGAGGTGGTGTGGAATGAGAGCATGCTGTGTATCAAAGGCACACCATCGTTTCATCAAACTACTGTTCAATGCAGCTGGTGGCAGTGGTGGATACAGCCATCGCCTTCAAAGAACATACCACCGGTCAACGCAAGTAACCCCTCCAGACTCGCCTTGATTTGCAGCAGAACCAGATGGCAGCATGAAGTGTGCCTGGGTGTGGATGGGTGCACTGCTGATGCTGCCTTTGTGAATCACTCTCATCTCACTCATCCCCTCCCACCTTCACTGATGTGATCTCAACCATTCAGCACCCTCACCTCAATGACGCATCCCTCACCGATGACGCTCTCCAAGATATCCACGCACTGCAGCTTTAAGAGCAGCATGCGCCGCCCCTGAATGTAAATGGGTGCAATGCTTTCAAACCTCCGAACCACCCGGCTCTCACCTCAATGACGCATCCCTCGCCGATCACGCTCTCTGAGATATCCACGCTCTGCAGCTTGGACGGCGGCAGGTAGCGCGCCTGGGTGTAGATGGGTGCAGAGCGGTCGTAGAAGCTGAAGGGCGAGTCGGGCTGCGTGGTGGCGAGGTTGGCGTTGTAAAAGGCCTCGATGGTTCCAATGTCTTCCCAGTACCCGTCGTACAGGAACGCTTGCACCTGGGTAGTAACGAGACATCAGAATAATGATGGAGATGGAGAAAACATTGTGAGTAAGGCTAGTACTGAAAAAATGCCGTTGTTTGAGGCCCACTGTGACCAACCAGGGGCCCTCGTATAGGATGGTGATGGGAGAAAATAGGTAGGAGAGCGGCCGGGGATGCAGTAAACTTTAGTCATAAGAATGTCCTTCACTACCCCCAGCATATACAAAGGCTTGCACGGTGCTCAACGCAGGACATGGTGCTTGGAGGAAGGGATGAAGAGGAGACCAACCGGAACAGGGGATGATGAGAAACGGTGGGCAAAAGGAGGCTGCAGGTGGGGCTAGAGTGGATGGATGGGACCAAGAGGCAGAAAGAAATTATCATAAGGAGCACTGGAGGCTCCACCTCATCTCCAGCGTCTCCTAAGCGTCCCTTGCGACCTCCATCGTCAGCTCTCATTCTCAGCCTACCTCCTCCAGCTTTCGAGTTTCCCAAGCTCACTACCCTCATGCTACACCTTGCTGCCTACGTCATTCGCCTTCTCCCTTCCGTCTCTCGCCTAACCATCTTGACACATTCACCTTGGGCTCCCCACAGGCCATCCCCTGAGCGCTCACCTTAACGCCCTTGGCGCACGCGCCGGAAATTACCTCCCCACCCCCTGAAGCGCTCACCTTGGCGCCCTTGGCGCAGGCCCCAGGGATGACCTCCGAGCCGAAGTCGTTGGCGTCAGGGAAGTCGTCGGCGAGCATGCGGATCATGGCGTCCTTGCTGATGACGTAGATGCCCATCGACGCGATGTACGGCATCTCCTTGGCGCGCTCCGCGTCCAGACCCAGAATGGTGGTGTCCACCTGCGGTGATTCGGGGAAGCGGAAGAGAGGGGTGGGGTTGAGGGGGGTAGGGGGGAGGGGGGTGGAGGAGGGGAAGAAGGCGAATGCGAGGAGAAACGGGAAGACGGAGTTGGTGACGACTTAGACGCCCATCGACGCAGCTATGTAATGAGCGGCTCGGATGCCCATCAATGTGATACACGGCAACTCCTTGCACGTTGGCGCATCGTGGGGGGAAAGGCAGAGGGGGAAAGAGCGTGGGGCGCGGGAAGGGGGATAAGGTGGAGGGGAAGGAGGTTCTCAGCCAATAATCAACTCAGAGACAGCTCACAGCACCATTCCACACCGTCACACACCACCGCGACGGACCTGCATGGCCTTGAGCGCGTCGCCCTTGGGCTTCTCTGCGAACTCAACAATCCGCCCCGTGTCGTCGATCTTCATGAGCCCGAAGGCCTCGGCGCGCTTCTCGTCCATGGGCAGCGCGGCGATGGTGATGTCGGCGTCGTTCTCGCGGTGGCACTTGATGAAGCGCTGGTAGTCCATGCGGTACAGGTGGTCGCCCGCGAGAATGAGGAACTCCTGCACGTTCTGCTCCTCCAGCTGCCACAGGTACTGCCGCACCGCGTCCGCCGTGCCCTGCGGAGGGAGCGCGGGAAGACGACGGGGAGGGAGGGAGGGAGGCATGAAAGGGGACGTGGTGAATCGCTGGTACGATGATAGTCCGTGCGGTAATCCTGGCCGTCGATGCAGCTCCCACTGGTTCTTCCGCACGGGATGGGAAGGAATAGGAAGGGAAGAGTGGGTGAGGGTGCGAGCAGCTTGATGGTAGTCCATGCGGTACAGGTGGTCGCCCGCTCATGCGTAATCCCCGAGCTTTTTGGAGAAATGCAGCCAGGGCGTGCGAGGCCGACATCACGCGGCGACGAAAACTCGTTGTCCCGCATCGCGCGATCCTGGTTGGCTCGAAACAGCACGCCCGCACCCGCTGCCTTGCCCGGTGCATCCGAACCTGCAAGTCTACCCAAATCCAGGTCATTATACAGACGACGCAAACGTCAACGCCAGCCACTGTCAGTGCGCGCGCATCCTTCAGACGAGCTTGCCCTCTTGACTCCGCGCCAAGCTTGAGCAGATTTGGGCTCAAATTTCGGTTCGCAAATCACACTCGGTCGAAGGCCAAGAGGAAACCGGCCACTCGATATTTGAAGAATCCCAGATATCGTTTACCTGGATATTGTATTAAAAAAATGAGCCCGAAGTGTTGCTTACCTGGAACCAGTTGGGATTCTCGGGGCTCTGCTGCGCTGCGAGCACTTCGACGAAGCCCTGCGTCTTGTAACCACCCATGTTGCTCGTGTACGCGCGCGACAGATGCCTGTTGAGCGACGCGGAGTTGAACTGCGTCATCACGTAGATCTTTACGATGTTG